GGGGGGGGGGGGGCATCTTCATTAAGACATCTTGCAAGAAAGCACTAGAGAAGGGATGGCTTTGAATGTGGAAGAGAAAGTTGATGGAAATTTGTGAAGGTTGCGAAAGTGTTCATTCAATATACAGGATGCTGAGATGCCCCTGACCCTATGCCAGCAAATCCACATGCATAATTGCACAGCAATTGCTTCAGAACAGCTGAAGGGTGCAGGTCCCCAAGCCACAGTCAAGGCATGTGTACAGGATGTTTCTTCTGAGGGCCTGAAAAAGAGGGAGGGTTGGACTCTTGAGTGGCCTGATCACCACAGCAATCTACCATGGAGATGCAGGACATCTCAGCATTACAGGAAGGGACCACAGAAAGAGGGGAAAAGCTACATCTAGCACGATTCTCCCCAGTCCCACAGGCACATTAATCACTTCATGGAATTCATGATACGTCCACAATGGGCTTCTAGACTCAACCCTGATGAGATGCGCTTGGCATGCGGTATACAGGCATATCTGGCCTGAATCAATGAGAACCAATGTTAAGGAGTCATCAAAGTGTGGGACTAGGAGCAGGGAGACCCAGTTTGCTGTCTGCCCTCAACCATGAAAGCTTGTGGTTGACTCTCACTCAACTCAACCTACCTCACAGAGTAGTGGCTGTGGGGAAAAATGGCAGAAGGGAGCATTAAGTATACCACCTTGAGTTCCTGAAGGAACAGTGGGATTTAAATCAAATAAATTAAGATGGTCCAAAATATCTGAGGAAGTTTTTCCACTTGGGTCTGCAAATCATTCTGAATATCTAAGCAGGCAGCCTGTGGCTTTTAGTGTGCCTCACAGACAAAAAGGCAGATGAAGGTGTGTATATATCTGAATAGGGGAATATGAGTATTAATTAAGGCTGTGTGAAGATTTTGATTCAAAGGCAGTTTGACTCAATGTCACTTTCACATTGAACTGCCAGATCGAGCCAATGTCTCAGACTGAACTGGAGACCTCCACGGTCATGATGATGCCGTCAAAGTCATGTGTGCCACACTTATAACCTGTCCTTGGGTAATTTTGCTGTTAGTTTTTTTCTTTTTTAACTGATTTTATTTCTTCTATTACTGAACAATATTATTTGGGAGGAATAAGTGCCTAGAAGCTTCCTGGATAGGCCTGCTTGGCTACTGTGGGACACAGGATGGGATCCAGCTGGGCTGTTATATTTGGCAAGGTTTGTATTGCAGGCCTCCACTACAAGCCATGATGACATCACATGTGTCTGCTATTTTCCAGGAGGATGCCTTTACTTGGTGTTCTCCCCCTAAACCCTGATGCATGAGACGGAGAGGGCTCTTGCAGCCTAGAAACTAAAGCAGTGTTTCTCAGCCTTGGCCACTTTAAGATGCGTGGACTTCAACTCCCAGAATTCCCCAGCCAGCATGGCTGGCTGGGGAATTCTGGGAGTGAAGTCCACTCATCTTAAAGTTGTCAAGGTTGAGAAACACTGAACTAAAGGGAAAAAAATCAATCAAAATAAAAGAATTCTTCTAGGTCTGTGCAGCGTGAGGTTGGTGACATCAACTACCACTCCTTCGGGAGTTAGATCACTATCACAAGTTTCAAATGCGCAGGTGTAAAAACAATCAGCCTTTACTTTGTCAAAAAAGAACATGAAATCCTTTTTCTCTCAGTAATGCATTCCTTCTTGCTTTAAGTAGTCAGGGGCAAAGCAGAAAATAGTGTGGCTAAAATCACCCACTGCCCCTCAAAGGGATTTCCCACAAAACCATACAGGACAATAAGCAGATCCCCCAAGATGTTGCCGATCGGCTCTTATTAAGACGCAGCCTGATGCCAAGAAGCGCCACGTTGCACAGGAAAGCACACATGGGTGAGCTCGTACAGATACATAAATACCAGTGTGGGTACCGCCCGTACACAATTGTGAGATCTCCCCCTGCCCCCCTATATATGTGAACTGCTTAAAGTGCCCTCGTGAGAAAACCTTCACAGCAAGCTGAACACTTTTCCGTCTGGTCAAGTGGGAAAAATCAACAAGTGATGTTGTCTCATGGGAAAGACAAGGCCAGTTGGATTTCTGCCTGCCGAGGAAATGACAGAAAGCAGGAGGATGGCACCTTCCAAGCAAGAGGAGCCTGCTTACCATTATAGCTCCATTTCTGAAGTCGGGAGGCGGAATCTCGCATATTGATGGCGAGGAGGACCTTGACAGTTGCGTCTGGCGCGCCCTGCTCTCCGTAGGCTGCCAAGAGGAGCCTCAGCATGTCCAGCGTGTCGGCATCCTTTAGCCTGCCCCAGGGGATGGGGTCCTTCCCATCCAGGTAGAAGTAGCAGAGTTTATGCTTGAACCTCTTGAAATCTTCCCCGGAAAGGTCGTCCAGGGTGAACAGCAAAGCGTCTTCCAGGGATTCGTGGGGCTCCTCCATTTCAGCTTAGAAAACCAGCAGCAGGAAGCAGATCCTTGCGCAGGGAAGGAAAAAGTGGCCGGGGTAAATCATCTGCATACTGATCACTGATTAACCACAAGGCGGCTAATTATCAACTGAGACCACACTGGGCGCCAGAGGAGCCAGACTAAATCAATTGCTCTAATGGCGCAACTCTGGGAAGCAAAGGCTTGCAAACCTCGGGGTCCCATTCACACAACAGGGTGGGCTTGGCTAGGCTTTCACCTTGACCGGCATTGAAGAGAGAATGGTTGTGTGAATCCAACGAGTTTCAGTTCACGGTTGAGCGTATTCTGCAGACCCAGAAAAAGGGTTCAGTCGCTTGTTCGGAAAGCAGCTGTATATACTGTAACCCCGAGTAAACCTGGGCAAGATTTCTCGAACTTGGTCTCACAGTATCTCCAACACGGCTTGCTCCATCCTGGCAGCTGTCTGCCTTGCCGGCTGAGAATCCCGGAGTCGGAGCCCCGCTCGCCCGGCAAGGGCCCGACTGAGGCTGAGACCCCGTGGCTGCACTGAGGACCCCCATCTTTGCAGAGGCATCAGCCCGATGCTGCTTTTGGAGCCCTGCAAAACTGGGTGTGAGGAAAGACAAGCAGTTCCTTTTTATCAAGGAATCCATTACTGAAACTTATAAATCTTAATAAAGGCCCGGACTTTTGTTCAGCTTTAATGTGCAGAGCAAGAAACAAAATCATAAAAGGGAAAAAGAAAATTAGACAGGAATAACAAAACAAAAAAAGGAAAAAAATAAATGCATGGCAGGAAAATTCCCTTTTAAGCAATAATTTTTTAACTTTGACAGGCCACTCATAGTTGCATAGTTCAAAGGAAGGAAATGAGCACATCGCGTCTACTCAAAGTTTTAAATCAGGTGTGGCAGAGTTTTCTTATGATAGTATTTTAGCTGCAGTCCGTCCAGAAAAAACTTGCTTCTAAAGCTTAAAAAAATATGACAAAATGACCAGGAACAATTCATTTGTGTACTGAAAATACACATAATCTCTCTTTTTGACCACATTCAGTACAGGCTTCTGAGAGAACAGTTAAAACCAAGGCAATACTGTAAATAAAATTCTAAAATATGACTGATTTATATCACCCCCTCTGTGAGAGAAAAAAATTGCTTTACAATTTAATCCAGTAGAAAAGTCTGTGAAGTTTACTGGCTCAAGTTGATTTCCTGAGAAGTGAGTTTGTCCTCATTGAAGGGGGTATCCCCTCACTCCCCCTTCCCCAATGTGGCTTTGAAGCAGTTATTAAGAATGCCTGGGGGGGGGAGAGTTTATTATCCCTCCCCCCATTTTAACCAACCTCCTTCCGGTGGGAGGAATAATAATAACTGAATCACATCTGAAGCAAATACGTGTAATGAATGGAATTTTCTTAGCTCATCCTGCTCCATGGTGGTCATGAGTGTGTAATCAAAGCCCCACCCCCTTTTTACTTGTGTTGTGTCACACACGTACATGCACCCCCACGCAAACCCCCTACCCTGTTCCAAAGCAAAAATATTGGTTTCTTGAACACGTATCGTGGCTTTCCATCAAGCAGGGCTGAAGGAGGCCACGCACAATGAAACCTATTGTAAAAACGGATAGAATATTTTAAGAAATGAAAAGGGAACAAAAGAAGACCCAATGAAAGACAAAAATAAGGCCGGTAGAACATGAGTAAAATCAACCAGCAGTTGAAGCCAGTCATAGCAGACTTGTCGGCCAATTTATAGGCAAATTCTAGTAGTTTTTATGATAAAAAAAAAAAAGACTTGCATCTATTGATAATTGTCATGATAATTTTCTCGGCTGCTGTATATATTATTTTTTTGTATTATTTTTAACTGCTGTCATTGTTTTAGCATTGTTCGCCGCCCAGAGTCACTTGGTTGAGATGGGCGGCTATAGAAATTAAACAAACGAACAAACCTTGGCATATTTTGTGCACCAACTTCTCAGGGCTGAAATAGCTACCAAACACAGTTTCCCACACTTCACACACAGTGGGAAACACCAGAAAAACTGTCTGGCCTTACCCATCTTTGATGTGAAGCTAGTAAGATGTTGCCATTTCCTTGTGTCTCCCTGACAAACGACGGGAATTTCGAAACGGAAATGGCAGGTGACACTTCCCTGCTCAAATACGGTCCCATGGCACAATCTTTGGGGAAGTTCTCCTACGCAAGATTCAGCAAAATGGAGGAGATGTTCAAGAGGCGTTTCAGAAGAACTTTCTCACGGATGATGCTTCATAGCTGAATCTGCTGTCCTCCCCCCGTAACTATAACACCAAAGCCGCTGCCTGAAGTTGAGGCTGCTGCCTTTTCCTCCAGACCACGTTACCGATCAGAACATCCGTTCGTGCCCTGCAGCTTCTAAGGTACAAAATTCTCCATTTCCTGAGAAAGAGCAACAGAAGACGCACGTACCGTGTACAGTGGGATGATGACAGAGCAATGCACTGATGACTTTCTGGTGTTTATTTGTTGCGTTCCATGCAGGCATCTGGCAGACTTCAAAAATAGAAGTGAAAGCAGAATTGTCTCCTCTCCTTGCCCCTCTTATTGGCCTCCCTCTCCAGCGAGGAGAGCCTCAAGACAAGTGAACAGCTCATAAATTTCCACCATGATCCCTCCCACTTCAGCTGGAAAAGGACCAGATCTTCACAAAAGAGCCAGAGGCAAGTGGAAAAGGACTGGTTGCCTTCCTGAAGCTTCAGTAGCAGAATAAATACGCCGTTGTGGGAGTTTGCATGCGCCTATGGGCTTCCACGGCTGGGTGATTCAGGTCCCCAGGTTTGCAACATCGACTTACGGGAGAAGCAAGGCTGAGAGTTGGGAGGCTGCATCTCTCAGCCACGCATGTTTTGCAGACTGGAAGGGGCTACTGAGTGGGAACGTCCTTCACACAAATCTACCTTTCTTCTCCTCTAATGTTGCTTCTTCCAAGGGCGCAGGAGCTCACCTGTATGAAGTCCAGCGTCTCCTGGATCACAGGGCAAAGGCTATAGCTCAGATGTAGGACACTTGCTTTCTAGGTAGAAGGTATGAAGGTCAGTCCTCTGCCTCTCCACAGTTACCGGAATCCAATTCAAGCATCCCCAAAAGAGGGGTCACTGTTTGCACATATCCAGCGAAGGGACACCACAGCAGCATGGACCAGTGGTTCCACTGTCCAAGTGCTATTCCTATAAGAAAGGTTTCCTAACATCCAACCAGCATTTTTGGGCCAAGAATCCAACCCTTTGCCTAGGGCAGGAATCTGAACTCAAGCCTCCCAGACTGACCACTGTCCAGCCTCTGCTTGAGCCCAGCCAGCAAAAGGGAGCTCAGTCCCTCTCAACCCACAGATTTTGCTGTTGAACTGCTCTTCCTCTTGGACATTTTCCCACACTCAGTCAGAACTTCTCTTCCTGCAACTTAAATCCATTGTTCCATATTCTACACTCTGGAACAGCAAATCTTGGCCTTCTTCTGACATCCTTTCAGGTATTTGTAAAGTGCTATAATATCAGACAGAGGGCTATCATACCCCCCCCCCCTTTTCTCAAGATTAAACATAGCTAATTCTTTCAATCCCTCCTCATATATTATCTATCATCTATGTATCTATGTATCTATCTAATCTGTCTGTCCGTCCGTCCGTCCACCCACCCATCCATCCTTCTCAAAGCACTTAAAGATGTCTCTCTTTATGATCTGTTCTAGGATCTTCCCAGGAATTTGTATTAGACTGATCAGTCTATAGTTTGCTTAACATGTCCCCCACCCTCTCACCCGGCTTCTTAAGATTGGAGCAATATTTGCTCTTCCCTAGTCACCTGGCACTTTATTCATCTGAGACCACTCAAGCCCTGACCGTGGCCAGACCATCAGCTAGTTCCTTTGCGCCCTCATCTGGTCCTGCAACTGACTCAGAGTAAAACAGCAGTCACTGACCATGTTTCTATTGCTCTTGCAGAAGAGAAGAGCCTTCCTGTTCACAATTTCCTGGTAGATGAAAGAGAGGGTTTTTTGGCAATGGAACCAAATCTGTCACCGGCTTGCATGGATCAGATTGTAATAAGTAATATATGCATATATGTAACCAGTTAGTGGAAGTCCACACATCTTCAAGTTGCTGAGGTTGAGAAACACTGGTCTATGCTCTGTCCATCTTACCTTCACTAAGCAGGTAATATTCTAGTTCTCCACTTCCTTGCATGTGTTCCTCGGCTTCACAAGAGCAGGCTGCCTTCATTCAGATCTATTCCATCCTTTCCCTTAGTTTTGCAGACCTAACATGGCCGTTTCATTCATTTTTTAATTCTTGCCCTTTACCAGTACTCCTGCAGGACCCCTTACTCCTACAGTAACCAGCCCGATTACAACATCTCTGGAAGAAATTGCTAAAATTCCCACATTTTCGGGAAGATTCAGGGTGCAGCTTTTCAATGGCAGTGCCAACACTGTGGAATGGAGATCAAGCTAGCTCTCTCTTGGCGACATTTCAGAAATTGTTTTGGACAGAAGACAGAAGCTGTTTTGGACAGCGTTCCTGTTCTTTGCATTGTTTACTAACTTCAGCTTGTCCTGGCACCAGCGTTCCTGTTTGGGAGTCTATACCAGTGTTTCTCAACCTCAGCAACTCGAAGATGTGTGGACTTCCACTCCCAGAATTCCCCAGCCAGGGAAGTCCACACATCTTCAA